CACTATGATACCAATAATATTTATGTGCATTTATCAAGGAAAACTTTAGATAAGCATGTTAACACTACTTTATGTACCTCTCTCATTAGGTCTAATTCTCTAATTCTCTGTTTCAATTTTAAGTCAATAATGGAGACTGTAGGAGTGCACAGCAGGTGCTGAGGTTAAAAACTCAACTTCAATCTAAAACCTGTGTTTAGCAGGGCCACGGCTGATGTAAATTAGAATTAAGGGCATGTCTTACTTATGCCTTATAGACTAGCTTTTGTGAGGGAAAACTGTTACCATTCTTAAATATTTTCCCGTTTATCCTGTACTCGTCTTTTTCTTCCTTTTCAATAGACACTGTTTTTTTCTTTCTTTTCTTCCTGGGAGGATGATTTCCCCCAAATAAATGCAATAAATGTGCTTCCAACTGCACTCTTATTATACTTGTGGACGGATTCTTCAGCCCCAGCTTATTTTCCTGGGCCGTTTGGTCGTGATGAAAGTATTACGGTAGCCGCAGTCTTGTAAAACCACCTTCTCTGGCAGTGTTTGTAAAAACCATATAAAACGCACTGTCTAAGCCCAATTAAGACTGACACTGCCCTGCTCTGTCCTGAGTCACACCTCCAGAAGCAATGCTTGTCCTGAAAGTCGCTCACCATGGCCCTCTCCGGGTGTGTGCCTGGGGCCTGTCTTTCAGGTATACCGGTCCGAGGACAGCAAGGTACCCCCGGCCCACCAGGCCCCGCCGGCCCTCGCGGGCACCCGGGCCCCTCGGGGCCACCAGGAAAACCAGGCTATGGGAGTCCGGGACCGCAAGGAGAGCCAGGGCTGCCGGGCCCGCCGGGACCATCGGGCACGGGGAAGCCAGGCTCGCCGGGACTGCCAGGAAAGCCAGGGGACAGAGGACCGTTTGGACCGAAAGGAGACGTTGGACCGGCCGGCTTACCAGGCCCCCGGGGCCCGCCGGGCCCGCCGGGGACCCCCGGCCCCGCTGGGATCTCTGTGTCGGGAAAACCTGGAGAACAGGGATCGCCGGGGGCCCCGGGACCCCGAGGCCTCCCCGGAGAAAAGGGGGCCCCCGGAGTGCCCGGGGTGAACGGACAGAAAGGAGAAACCAGGTACGGCGCCCCGGGCCGCCCCGGGGAGAGGGGCCTGCCCGGCCCCCAGGGGCCCGTGGGCCCGCCCGGCCCCCCGGGCGCGGGGAAAAGAGGGGAGAACGGGTTCCCGGGGCAGCCGGGCGTCAAAGGGGACCGGGGCTTCCCGGGAGAGCGGGGCCCCATCGGCCTGCCGGGCCCCCAGGGGCCTCCCGGGGAGCGGGGGCCGGAGGGCGCAGGGAAGCCGGGAGCCCCCGGCGCCCCGGGCCAGCCAGGGGCCCCCGGGACCAAAGGCCACCCCGGGGCTCCGGGGATCGCGGGCCCCCCCGGGCCTCCGGGCTTCGGGAAGCCGGGCCTGCCCGGCCTCCAGGGCCAGAGAGGCTCAACCGGCCTTCCCGGCGGCCCGGGGGCCAAGGGGGAGCAAGGCCCGGCGGGCCGCCCTGGGGAGCCGGGTCTGGCCGGACCCCCCGGGAGTGCGGGGCCCCCGGGACCCAAGGGCACCCCGGGCACCCATGGGATGCCGGGCCCCAAAGGGGAGGCGGGGCCGGCCGGGCCGGCAGGACGCCCCGGGGCCAAGGGGGAGAGGGGTCCCTCTGGCTTGGATGGGAAACCGGGGTACCCGGGAGAGCCGGGCCTCGACGGGCCTAAGGGTCACCCGGGGCTGCCCGGACCCAAAGGGGACCCCGGAGTGGAAGGACGTCCCGGGCTCCCAGGCCCCGCAGGCCCCGCAGGCGCGAAGGGAACCCCCGGGCACAACGGCGAGGCGGGGCCCAGGGGCTCCCCTGGAATCCCGGGCACCCGAGGCCCCATCGGGCCGCCCGGCATCCCGGGCTTCCCCGGATCCAAAGGGGATCCAGGAAGTCCAGGCCTTCCTGGCCCCGCTGGCATAGCCACCAAGGGCCTCAACGGGCCCACGGGGCCCCCGGGGCCCCCAGGTCCGAGAGGCCAGGCCGGAGAGCCGGGCCTTCCAGGGCCCCCAGGGCCTCCAGGGCCCCCCGGGCAGGCAGCCGCCCCCGATAGCTTCACCAAGGCCGGCCAAAGGCCCAGCATCCCCGGGGTGCCCCAGGTGAGTGTCAACCAGGGAGTCACAGGAATGCCCGTGTCCGCCTTCACCGTTATCCTCTCCAAAGCCTACCCGGCCACAGGCGCCCCCGTCCCGTTTGATAAGGTTCTGTATAACAAGCAGCAGCATTACGACCCGAGAACCGGCATCTTCACCTGCAAGATCCCGGGCCTCTACTATTTCTCCTACCACGTGCACGTGAAAGGGACCCACGTGTGGGTGGGCCTGTACAAGAACGGCACCCCCGTCATGTACACGTACGATGAGTACACCAAGGGCTACCTGGACCAGGCCTCGGGCAGCGCCATCCTCGACCTGGCGGAAAACGACCAGGTGTGGCTGCAGCTGCCCAGCGCCGAGTCCAACGGCCTGTACTCCTCCGAGTACGTGCACTCCTCCTTCTCAGGGTTCCTAGTGGCTCCCATGTGAGCGTGAGCCCACCGCGCTCACATGCACCTGCTTGAGAAGGCACCTGCCCCACAAAGCGCATATGGACGTAGGCTGAGAAAGACAGCACTCCCTTCAGTACAGATGTGAGCTTTCAGAGCAGCCAGCTTTCCCTCGGAGGAGCGAGCAGCAGCAAAGGTAAACTATAGGAGAAGACCCTGTCCAATTCCTAGTCCGCAGTCCTGAGGCTCCTTATTCTGTGAAGTCCTCCCGTCCTTCAAAACCTCGCCATAAGAGTCCTGCTAAGCTAAAGTGTAAAATGACCACAAAAACCCTGATCCGTGATGCTAAGTTGCATTAAATCTGATTTCAGGATCTCAGCATCCCCTTTTAAAATAAGCCTGTTTTCTTCCAACAATGAATAGAACTTCTACGAAACATTCAAGAGGTATATCTTTCTAGAACTTAAATACTTGAATATTCAAATTTAAAAGACGTTATCATAGGATCTTTCTGATGGTGCATTATTCAAAGGCTTAAATGGCCCCTTGTGAAAAAATTTATTCATATATAAAGGTGCGTATAGATTTTTTTTATGGCTCTCATAAAAAACACACGCAAAATATGATGTTGAAATGAACCGGAAATGCAAGGTGCTTTGGTTATGAACCTTTACAAACTTTTCTGTGACTGCGAAAAAGCGTTCTACATACCCTTCACAACTTGGAAGGTGGTGTCTGACCTAATGTATTTATTTAACACGAGTGTTAATTAATTTGATTTCATCCCTTTGTTGAGTTTTGTATCAGATGATTTTGTGGGTTTACAGTATGTACCTAGTGCCTCCCATTCCAGTGAAATTATACCTGATGTCAAAGGTTTCAAAATCTGCCTAGAGAGGAAATGACGTTATTTATTTATGCTCCGTACTGTATTTTTATATTGCTGTTTAAGAGTTGTAAGCTGTACCTCACTTACGAAAGCACGAAATGTTTTACCTACTCCTTATTTACGATGCAATAAAGTACCATCCAGAGATTTCTGTGCGGAGTTTATTTGCCAGGAGCACTTGGCAATGCGCAACCGTTCCCTTAAGGTTCCTCACTTTCCAAAGCCGATAGAAAGTCAAACAGCGACGTGGTGGGCGGCTTCACAGGGGTCAAGGATGTGCCTCTCCCCTGGGGATGGGCATTCCCACACACCCAGGCACGGAGGGTGGCCTGGGACCCCCTCAGGACCACGGGTGACCCGCAAGCCCGTGAAGGATGGGCGGCTGGGAGGGAAAAGTGAGGTAATCACCCCCCATCAGGGATTTTCTTCTGGGAGGGAAAGAGAATATGTAATTGGAACAAATATTCTGCAGTTACTATTTGTTGCCTTGATACATTTTTGTGTGTGTGTGTTTTTTAAAAAATATTTTATTGATTTTTTTACAGACAGGAAGGGAGAGGGATAGAGAGTTAGAAACATCAGTGAGAGAGAAACATTGATCAGCTGCCTCTTGCACACCTCCTACTGGGGATGTGCCTGCAACCAAGGTACATGCCCTTGACCGGAATCGAACCTGGGACCCTTGAGTCCACAGGCCGACGCTCTATCCACTGAGCCAAACCAATTAGGGCTTGATACGTTTTTAGTCATAACATTTAGGATTATTTTGATGGCTAAATTACATCGAAATGTTTATGTCAATCAAAAGGCAGTATTTTCCTGGCCGCTGTGGCTCAGTTGGTTGGAGCATCCACTCATACTCCAAAAGGTGGCAACCAAATCTCACTCTCTCAACCTCTCCCTCCCTTCCTCCTCCTCTCCCCCTCTTCCTCTCATCCCCCCCCCCCTCCGCTTTCTCTGCCAATAAATAAATAAAAAGGACAACATTTTTCCAAGCTCAAAAAGTACTGCTCTTGAGCATCCATCAGCCGCCCACTGGTTGAATCAAGACAGTCCAGTTGAGGCCACCAGCATCACATACTGTAAAGATATCTCTTTATTGCTTAGAAGTAATCTGTGTACCCCAGGCAAACCTGGGCACAGAACCACGAAACCCTGGGCTCGGGTTGGTGATTTCTCTGCCCCCATTCCGGGTCAGATAGTCCTGTTTTTTAAGCAAAAACAATGGCATGTTCACTTTTTCCAAACTGTATATAACAGGTTACAGGTGTCACCAGCCCTCATTCCCAAATCGGGAAAGGGCAAAACCAGAACTTCAGTTCTGGAGAATGGTCAAAAGGACCCCACTGACAGGTATGCAAAGGACGGCACAGCTCAAAATGTTGGCACGTATGGCCATGAGACAGATGTAAACAAAAGGGCCTCTTCACATGTAAAGGTGCAAACTTTATAGTGACATTTAGGGTCAAATTAAGTCCCAATTAAAGAACATAGCAGAATAGGTAATGTCTAAGTAATTCACTAAACACATAGCATTTAACAAACTTCTATTAGAAAGAATTCATATTACTCACCCTTAAAAGCTGACATCTTATAATTGTGTTGTATACCAGCAACTATATCCTTCCAAAAATCAAATGCTTTCTGACCATTGTTCTGCTAAAAAAATAAAATACATTTCCAAATGTAACATATCCAATCATTATTTTTTACGCATAATAGAAAATACTTGGCAAACAATTACAATATCACTGTATTTAAAAATGGGGACTTATTTTCAGAAAACATATTGGGTTAATAAACTTCTCATTCTTCTAAACATGATTTAAAAGAATAAAAATCTTGCATGAAAATTACTGCTACAAGGATGTTTATAAACACACACACAGGACTATATTAATGTAACTCACATAACCCAAATAAAATAAAAATTCCACTCATTAGAAAGCATAAAAATTACAGAATGTTTTAAACACAGGGATAAATTTACTGTTACAGCCTCTGAGACACCAGAATGTGTCCCTCTGTGTCACTCTGTACAATGGCATCAATGGGGCTACCAAGCCTGAAATCCTAAAATCCTAAAAGCTGGTCACTTTAGAATTCGGAGCACGTGTGCCTGGATTTCGACATAAAAGAGCAGCAAGTCTCTACAGGAGGCATGAAGGAGATTCCAAATCCAGAATGTAAACCACTTTTATTACCGGTAAGTCTTTTTTAAACCAGAAAGCAAGTAAACAATACATTGAAGCACACTATCCTACAACCCTTTGCTTCCTTGGAAATATTAAGCAGTGTTTCATCTAAAGGAAGACCAACTACTAGATATCTGTAACTATTATAAAAACTCCGAAATATTTAAAGATTGATAAATTTGCTTGTAGTCATTGTGAAATGAGAAACTGACTCTATTTCCTGACTCTAATAACGATTTCTACAAACACACCAGAACTAATGCTCCACAGAAACTGTCACAAACACACAACAGTAATTCTGAGTAAAAAACAAACCATTATGTCCTAAAGTGAACATGATCACTGTGACTTTAAAAGATAACATATGCAAAAAGGAAAGTGATTCTGACATAAAACCAGTTTATGTTCATAGGTCTTAAATTCTAAGTATAAACTGATATTACTAGAAATCTATTTAATTTTGATGCACAGTACAAAAAAGTATACATGCATTAAACTATGCTCAAAATGATTAATTTTAAATTTTCATCTCATTTTCTCTTGTTTCATATTATTTAGAATGCTTAAGAACATGTCAAATTTTCTTAATTACCTTTACTTTTTTATTGTTATAAAACAAAGAAAATATTTTTCCAAATGAAAGTTCTTTTTTTTATTGCTTTAAAAAACCAAGTAAGCGTTCATCAAACTGACATTAATCAATAATTTTGCATATTTTTTTGTGTTATTTCCCTTGTCGGTTCTACAAGTTGAAAGCAAAATAAGACACTTCTATTCTTTTGTTTCATTTAAAAGCTGTGAGTTTCTGTTCCATAACCAGACTACATTATCTGAAGAAGCAAATAGTCTATGCACATTGCTTTTGATCCACCTCAAAATATTAAATCTAAAATGGGTGTGTGTGACTTGAGCCACAGAAAACTGAGGCAAGGCGCAGGAATATAATAATATAATTATTATATTATATTATTTATTTATTTATTTTTGCTGGCATATGGGACCAATTGGTAGAAAATGCAGAGCCAAAGCCACACTTAGACTTGATGATGTCTATGTAAGAATGTTTAAACCTGTAGAAAATTTTTATGAGAGTTTATTCGAGCCACATTGATGACATATGGGGGAACAAGATCTCCAATGCTCTGGATAATACAGTTCTGCGACTTCTGTAATGCCTTTGAAATGAGGAGACCAGGAAGATGACGTGGAGTTGGGAGGAAGCAAGGTGGGGACTGGGTTACAAGGTAGTTAACAAGGTTATGTGCTCTCTTAAGGATGGCTACAGTTTATTTCAAAGGTGTGTTAACCTAATGCACAAAAATAGATAGGGCTTGCTTAAGGCAAAGACAAACCTTTTACTAAGAAATTATATGCTTGGGGCATGTCAACCACCATAACCTGCCCAGTAAGAAGGCAGATGCCAAGTTCTGGATTTTTCCCTGGACTTTTGCACCCCCTGCTGGAGAACAGGTTATCGTCCCTGGGGGAAATGGTCACTGCTCATTTAATTTTCCAAAAACATTTTGGCTAAATTCTCTGTGTTTCCTCCTCAGTCTCCCATGAAACCACAAAGAGGAAGTTGAGTACAGTCTCCACGGAAGAGACATATGCTGATTTACAGTATACCACCGTTTTCTAAAATAGAAAAAACGTCTTCACCTTTGTCAACAAGTCCACCACTCTGGCACATAGAAGAGCTCCTGGCAGGTCAAAGTAATTATCATAAAAATAATACTTTCCTGAAAAAAAAAAAAAAGAACAAAATTTTAAACTGGGAACAAATTCATGCCGAAATTATCAGAGGAAACATCTCAGACTGTTTTTTATTCTTAAGAAAGGTTAGGAATGGCTTTGCCAGAAATCTAGAGGAAAAGGAAGATGTCTGCCCCCGCTCTGCTATTCTGTACCCCACCATGCTCCAGGGCTCCCCCAACCGGACAGTGGGCAAAGTTCATTGCCTGCACATGATCTTATTTCTTGCCTTTGACACCAGAGGGACCTGCCTGATCCTGATGGCTAGCTGTCCTAAGCTCTGTGGGACATCCATAAACCCGTGTATCCTTAGAGCATCATTGCCAATTGTATTCTCTTCTTTTTCCATCCCCGTCCTCTCCCTTTGTGGGCATTAAGAGCTGAAATTCAGTTGAAGAGCTGAATGTTGATGTGTGTTGGTGGGAGTCTAATAAATCACTACGGAGTTTGATGAGAAGGGCTCATGGCAAGGCAAGAGGCCACTCAACTGTCAAACCCGGGCTGGCCCGTGTGGACAGTGAGGCTTCGTCAGCCTTGACCTATTAACTGGGCCAGGCTGCTGTCAATGCTTCTCCCAACACCCATGCTCAGAGACTGTTCTGTATGAAGGCGTCAGCCCTCCCCCTGCTTACAGAACAGACAGCTCATAGGGCGTGAAGGGATTGGTGAGCTCAATGAAGCAACCCACTGAATCACGGCCAAGCCCCTGAATCACTAAGCTCTGGACACAGAAACACTGTTCCCCGAGAATCCACGCCAGCACTGTTCTCTTCGCAAACTCCACACGCTTGGTGATCACGGAACACGGGTACATGAGTGAAACCGCTGAGGGGAAGAGAACAATGTATGTTCGCCTAAGTCTCACTTCCGCAGATGTGTGATCTCTCCATTTAAAGGTGAGGACAGTGATGCCAACGGTGGCTTAGAAGCTGACCAGATCCCTTTATCCAGCAAGTAACAGAGTCACTATGATCCAGGCCTGGCTCCACGTTCCTTGTGATTTCCACTGTACCCGTGGTCGGCAAACCGCGGCTCTCGAGCCACATGCGGCTCTTTGACCCCTTGAGTGCAGCACTTCCACAAAATCCACGGCCGGGGCGAGTCTATTTGAAGAAGTGGCGTTAGAAGAAAGTTTAAGTTTAAAAAATGTGGCTCTCCAAAGAAATTTCAGTCGTTGTACTGTTGGTATTTGGCTCTGTTGACTAATGAGTTTGCCGACCACTGCACTATACCAAGCTGTTTCTGCATAATCTATCCGTGTGTGGGAGAAAAGCTCAAAAGAACTTGCTCTCTGCCCTAACCGGTTGGCTCAATGAATAGAGCGTCGGCCTGCAGACTGAAGGGTCCCGGGTTCGATTCCTGTCAAGGGCATGTACCTTGGTTGCGGGCACATCCCCAGTAAGGAGTGTGCAGGAGGCAGCTGATCAATGTTTCTCTCTCATTGATGTTTCTCACTCTCTATCCCTCTTCTCTTCCTTCCTGTAAAAAATAAATAAAATATATATAAAAAAAAAAGAAAAAAGAAAAAAAAAGAACTTGCTCTCCGGTAATCGGTTGGTAAGGAAAACCATTCTTATGCCAAGTCAACATCCTGAAAAGGGATTATAAAAAACATTAGTGCTCCGAAACCGGTTTGGCTCAGTGGTAGAGCGTAGGTCTGCGGACTGAAAGGTCCCGGGTTCAATTCTGGTCAAGGGCATGTACGTTGGCGGCGGGCACATCCCCAGTAGGGGATGTGCAGGAGGCGGCTGGTCGATGTTTCTTTCTCATCGACGTTTCTGGCTCTCTGTCTCTCTCTCTCTAAAAAATCAATAAAATATATTAAAAACAAAAACAAAACAAAACAAAAAAAAACATTAGTGCTTAAAATGCCTTAAATAGACTGATAGGGGAAGCACTTCACAACCCTCTATTTAACTCGAAGATAAATGGACTCAATATACACGGAAATAGCATGTAAAGACACATGCTACCTGGCCATAGTGATCAACATTTTAAACCCGCATATCCTGAGAGCATCTGTACTTGCAGGAGCTCACCCTGGTTATACTTAAAAAACTGAAAGCTGTACACGTATGAAAAATGTGACCGTAGGCTTGTCTGTAACAGCCAAACATCCGACACAATGCAAATGTCCCCCATCCGAGTACTGATCAAATAAATCGTGATACAGGCACTGGATGCCAGCATTTAAAAGGACGAGGTATGTGAGTGTGTGTGCTGATGTGACAGGATCGCTGAGATGTAAGTTACAAAGAGCAAAGTACAGAAAATGTATGGTCCCTGTGGTAGAATTAAAAAAAAAAAAAAATAGCTTTGGGGAACAGAGAATTTTGAGGGGCAGGGGTTGGATTGGACATGATTTCATTTTATTCCTTTCTAAGATTTTTAAATTTCCTAAGCATATGATCACATTATTATTGTGTGTGTTTTAATGAAAATAAAGTTTAACTGCGTTGTAGAACCACAGGCCATTTTTCTTCTTTTATATATCTTTACACTAAAAAAAATAAGTTTGTTATTGTTAATCCCCACCTGAGGATATTTTTCCATTGACGTCTAAAGAGAGTGGAAGGGAGGGGGAGAGACAGAGAGAGAAACATCGATTGGCTGTCTCCCGCAGGCACCTGACCAGGGCCAGGATCAAGTCTGCAACCAAGGCATGTGCCCTTCACTGGAATTGAACCTGGGACCCTTCAGTCCGTGAGCCGGTGCTCTATCCACTGAGCCAAACAGGCTGGATTAAGCCTTAGCTTCTTACTATTTTGTAGAAACAACAGGCATCTGTTGTGTCACAGCCTGACCACCAGGCACCTGGAGTGAAACCAGCTCCCTAACGCACCCAGTGAAGAGCAGATAACCTTCCAGTCCAGCCGCAGAGGCTCCTGGGCAAACTGAGCACCTGGGGAAGCTGCTGGTTCCCATGGAGACCGGGCGGAGCAGTGAGCACACAGCTGGCTCAGAGAGGAGAGATGTCCTGTGACTGCTGGGAAATAGTTGATTTTTTAAAACTCTCCCTGTTATTGAGTGGATGTCAGAATGTAGCTGTGTGCCTCGCTTCTCTGGGTTATTTACCACCACCTGTACCTGGAGAGACAACAATCCTCCATCCTCCCTGGACGAAAAGGCTATCTAGCCATTCAACGTCCGCTAGTTAGAAATTCTGAGTCAACATGTGCGAAAGCATTCTAAGTCTAACCCCAATGTGAAGTCTCGGCATTTCCTATCAACTTACTTTATCAAGAATACTCATACTTCCTGCCATTTTCACCTCTCCACAAAAGCGAGACTCTCAAAAGATGGCAAGGGTAACAAAGAAAGGAAGCGCAATCAAGATAAGGACTAACTGACTATTTCCAGGTTATTACATTTTCTAAAGGAAAGCAGATGTGGGAGAAAGTGGCAAAAAAAAACTTAGGAAAAATGAAAAACCAATAATGTTGACTTTAATAAGATCTGGCTCTAACAATGTTTTCATCATTCCCTCTTCGTGCGCACCTATGTCTGTAAAACATTTCTGAAAAATCTTTTCACGTGCACGCATGGTGAAGCTCTTTAAAAGATTGGGAAAAAATGCATACAAGCATTTAAAATCAAGAAAAAGAAAAGATGAAGGGAAAAGATACTAGAACTGGCAGTAAGAAGGAAAATTCTAGCCTGGCCAGCATGGCTTAGTGGTTGAGCGTCAACCTATGAACCAGAACTATGGTTCAATTCCTGGTTAGGGCACATGCCCGGGATTGCGGGCTTGATCCCCAGTAGGGGGCATGCAGGAGGCAGCTGATCAATGATTCTCTGTCATCTCTGATGTTTCTATCTCTTTCTCTTTCTCCCTTTCTCTCTGAAACCTATATATATATATTTAAAAACACTGAAGGGGCCAAACCGGTTTGGCTCAGTGGATAGAGCATCAGCCTGCAGACTGAAAGGTCCCAGGTTAGATTTCAGTCAAGGGCATGTACCTTGTTTGCGGGCACTTCCTCAGTAAGGGGTGTGCAAGAGGCAGTTGATCGATGTTTCTCTCTCATCAATGTTTCTAACTCTCTATCCCTCTCTGTAAAAAAAATCAATAAAATACATTTAAAAAAAAATAATAATCCTGAAGGAAAAGTTTAGAAAAGAGAAAGAAATGAGGCTGGAGAAATAAAAGTAAGGACTGAGCCCATCACAAACTGATAAAAAAAGACAGATTCCTAAGGGATGCATTACTCCCAAGTGCTAGTCTTTTTCCTCTAGAACAAGTGCTAGAAAAGGAGCATCAACAAAACCTTCATTAACACAGAACCAATGGCCAGAGAGAAAGTGGACAGATGTGGAGGAAAACACATCCTATGTCTCTGAAACCACAGGTGCTTCCTTGCACCTCATGCCCAGCAGGACACGAAAAAGGCCTTCTTCTGGTCCTCATGGAGCAGGGTCAGGGACCACCATAGGAGAGGGGATGGCAGTGCTGCCCGGTGGGACATACCTGACCGGAAAGCCATCCCAGTGTCGGGCATGAAGTACTTCCACTCCTTCCCGCCGTACTCCTTGGCCAGCTCCTCGGGGGCCAGCATTCTGGTGCCGTGGCTAGCCCTGGTTTGGGGAGAGGAAGGTCACTGCTCGTCAATGGCTCCCTTGAACACCCCTCCCTCCAGCCCGGCTATGTTGGATCCCTTCTAAAATGAACGAGAGTTCTATTTGTTTCTGTTTTCCATTGTTTGGCTTCCCCACTGAGGAATCTATAAGGCCTTTCTCTTGACAGCTCAGGCTCTTCCTCCCTTCACCCACCAGCGAGCAAGCGATGAGGAGCAGCCCACAAGGTGGACCGATAATGTGGAAACGATGAGCTGGACTCTCTGGAAGGAAGAGGACCCTTTCCTAAGGAACAGTCATGTAACTAGGAAGGCAAGGTGAACCTAACTGGGACAATTAAAAAACAACTGTGTGGCCGAAACCGGTTTGGCTTGGTGGATAGAGCGTCGGCCTGCGGACTGAAAGGTCCCAGGTTCGATTCCAGTTAAGGGCATGTACCTTGGTTGGGGGCACATCCCCGGGGGGAGGGGGGGTTTGCAAGAGGCAACTGTTCGATGATTCTCTCTCATCGATGTTTCTAACTCTATCCCTCTCTCTTCCTCTCTGTAAAAAAATCAATAAAATAAAATAAAATAAAACCTGTGTGGAAACAGGAAAGAAAGAAAAAGCATCAGGGAGGAGAGTTAGCGTGTGAGCTGCGCCAGGTCCACAGGAGAGTGGTGGGAGGAGCCTGGCACCTGGGGGTGGCCAGCTTGTAGGCACAGGAGACTGTGAAGATGAGCGAGCATCCTGCCCATTCAGGGACATACAGTGATGGCAGTGCGACAAATGCGACACAACACAGAACAGCAAGGCAGGATGTAGCTACTTCCTGTGCTCACAATATGGCCCTTGCATCCGCTGGTCCTGAGGAAAGTCTTTTAGCCTAAAGAGAAACAGCTGATAGTTTGTGTAGTTTATTGGGAGAGATGATAATGCTGGAAAGTATCATTTTTCTTCACTTGGGGTTATATTATGATAGCAAAGCAAAATTAAGGGGAAAAGACATGGAGGGGAAAAAATCAGTTTCCTTTTTATAAGGAGGTTAATGTTTTAGAAAGTGGTATGTAGAGATGGAAGAACCCTGAGTGGGAACTATGATAAGACAAGAAGGCTACTATATTCACTGGAAGCAGGCATCCAGGAGATAAGCTCAATTGAGGAGAAACTGCAGGGTAGCTAGAACTTGAATGGAGAGGGTCAGACTTGCAGGAGAGGCGCTGGGAGGGGAGATGAACTGAGATAACAATGAAAGAAAGAAGCACAACTGTGGATGCTTTCCATTCTTTAACTCAAGGATTTGAGACAGACAAGCACATCGTGATAAAATGATAGCCAGGTTAAAGGTCACAGTCAAAGCTGCACTGAGTGTATGTATGCAGATAGGGATACAGATACATGCACACACACACTCGATTTCTTGTTGCCCAAGGAAAAACATGCAAACGAATAACAAAATAATCAGAAGTGGGGCCACACCAACATCTGTAGCTAGCGGCACCTTAAGGGAAAGTCTGGGAGAGAGCAAGAATCTGTAATGTGCAGAAAAATGTGATGTATCAAAAGGGAGAGCATGTATAAGAAGTAACCTGTTCTGAGCACCCTCTCCTTGGACTCTTAGTATAAACTATGGGGATCAGGCCGAAACCAGCTCTCCAACATCCCCTGAGGGGTCCCAGATTTCGAGAGGGCACAGGCCAGGCTGAAGGACCCCACTGGTGCACGATCAGGGCCTAAGAGGGGCTACGGGAGGGCCCCAGGGCATGTCCAGTCCATCTTGCCCAGTCCTGATCGGCCAGACCCCAGCAGCAAGCTAACCTACTGGTCAGTGCATGTCACAGTGACTGGTAAAACGGTCGAATGAATGGTTGGACACTTATCATATTAGGCTTTTATTATATAGGACAATAAATTGCACGGATGCATGGCCATGCTGACTTGCTGTACTATCAGCATTGGTGGAAAGATAGATGCTCACTCCGTGATCCCTCTGTAAGGCTTAGAGCAATAACAGCAACTGCTTCTCAAATGAGTGCCCTACTTTCACCAAGACTCAAAGGGTTGAGCTCACCCTAAAAGGAGGGAAGGAAGGGGAGGCAGCAGTGAGTGCAGGAGAGACTGAGGAAGATTTGAACAGCCTGAAACACCTACCAGAAGGAGCTGGGACACCACAGAATCCTGCACGATGGGGGCAAATTTGGATGAATGGAGGAAGAGAAGTATGCACAGACCATAAACTTCTATCCCACATCTATTCTCTCCTTCCACCTTAATAAAAGTAATTCCTACTTTATTCCAGGTACCTACATACCCACCTAACACAATGCAATTCCCAAGCTCCTTTGCAGTAGGGATGGTCAATGATGGGAAGCAAGTTATTAACGTTCTACTATATTTCCTGCAAATATTTCTGATGAACTAAATTTAAAGAAACTAGATGCTGAATCCTAATGCTCAAATTTGTTATTTAAATGACTCAAAGGATGCATACAAAGACATGCAAACACACAGATCATCTATCATCTGACTAAAATAATGATCTTATTTAACTACTAATGCACGAATCCTTGCACAATGAAAGGAAATTAATTAGAAGAAATATTTTAATATTGCTATTCGCCCTTTCTCTATAATAGAAGTGTCAACCAAATTCATGATTGACAATGACAGATTGAAACACATGTGCGCGATTGGTGCCAGTGAGAGCTTTCTATGTATTACGCATGCACGAGTCAATTTAGCTTTCGTGTGTGTGTGTGTGTGTGTGTGTGTGTATATATATATATATATATATATATATATATATATACACCCCAACACGAAGCAGATTATTATTGTAGATCACGCAGGGAGAACAAAGGGTAAAATATTTAACTGCAGCAGTGTTTGACTATATTCTGCACAGTGAGAAAACTTGAAGTCATGTTAAGGTCCACTCTTTCTTACTTCTCTTCAGTCGGGTCAAGTTTCTAAGCTTTCTAAATCTCCGTTTTCTGGCTAATGAAAAGAAAATAGGATTCCACCGAGTCTCCTATCTACCTACTCCGAGACTTCTGTGAGGATCAAATGAGATCACGAGAAAATGCTTCACAGACATTTGGTTAAAGTGTAAAATGTTTCCACCTGTGTTCCTGGGCTGAAGGAACTCCAAGGAGACTAGTTGCTAGGGAGAGGAAGCTGGGCATTGCTTGTGATGTCATTACCTGGATGGACACTTGGCATATTAATTATATATATATATATATATATATATATATATATATATATAACCTTAACAATAAAATATTACAGAGTAACAAAGTGTCCTGAAAAGAGCCAAATTTTGACCTCACAACTACATTTTATTACCTGAGGACGGTGCCATTATCTGCAAGTTTAATGAAGTTTCCATCTTCCAGATCCAATGCCAAGCCTTTGCAACTAAAACAGAAATATTTGATTCCCAATCAATTCATGCATTTTCCTAACTCAAAAGATAATAATCTATATTCTTAAAAAGTCATAGTGCAAAAAAGGCATTCTCCCAACCAGGGGAATGATACGTTAATCAAACAGTTAAAAATATCCAAGAACTCTAAAATTAAACATCATCCACAGAGAAAGCATATAAAGAAAACCGTTATGGGAACAAAGGACAGCATGTTTACTTTCTAAAATAATTAAACTTTTAAAAAGGGAAATACAAACTCAAAGAGAAGCAAAAATGAACCTCACTTCATGTCTCTGATAAGAAGTGAAAATGGTGCCCTGGCTCGGTGGCTCAGTTGATTGGTGCATTGTCTTAAACACTAAAAGGTTGTAGGTTCAATTCCCAGTTAGGGCAGATACCTAGGTTGTGGGTTTGATTTCCAGTTGGGGAGTGTCTGGGAGGCAACCAATCAATGTATCTCTCTCTCTCTCTCTCTCTCTCTTCCACACCCTCCTTTCCCCCTCCCCCCCCCCCTGTCCCTTCCTTTCTCTCTTTAAAAAAAAAAAAAAAAAAAAATCAATGAAAATCACATCCTTGGGTGAGGATTTTTTAAAATGTGAAAATGTTTTTATAAATTAATACACATACACACATACACATTCATATTCTGTTAGTTCAGATCTTAGCCAGAGTCTTTTCTGATTCTTTAGAATTTAAGTCAGGATATAAAAGTAGCCCTCTGGGTAAGGTATATTATTAAAAAATAAACAAACAAACAAAAAAAAAACTAAAAGAAAGTCAAATATTAAGTTTAGGGAGAAAAATGGATACAGAGTCATCATTGTAAATAATAAAAGCAAGGAGGTATAATAGCCAACCAATACCAAGGGAATTAAACAAAAAATGGCAGGTACGTTAGAAGTATGATTTACTTTGGTCCACAGTAAAATTTCCAGTGTTAGCAGTTTCATATAGTAAAATGTTTCTGCATCTCCTTCACAAAAGGGATTGACTAACAAAGGGCTAACCAAACATTGGAGGAATGCCTAACGGAGGAACACCGTCATGTGTTTTAGGATTATTATTAATTTTCAACTAAACAATGGAAAGTGGTTTAATCTCAAGATAACTTCCTGGTATTGGGGCTCTCAAGAATAAACAATGGAAAGTGGTTTAACAGGAGTTACTGTTTGGTTTTGTCATCTAAATGAGGAAGAAAGACAAAGGAAGCCTTGAGAACCCTAACCCCGAAAGGGAAGAAGCAGTCAGAGCCTTAGACAAAGGGATGTCTGTCTAATTACCCAAAAAGCAAATGTCCTAATTCAGATACTTACCCAAAACATGACTCTTCTTCTCCTATATGTCTGTGTTTGAAGAGCAACAAAACAAAACTTTTTTTAAAGATAACATTTTAGAGAGAGTTCTTATAACCTCCAAGACTCTTAAGAATGACAAATGTCACCATGTGAAAATATCCAAATTAGTGCCATGCCCTTTTGGCTTTTCATATTTGAGTCTAAACTTAAAGTAGAAAGGACATTCATTCATTAAGCATAATTTTTTTTTTTTATTTTATTATTAGAGAAGGCACTTGGTCCTTTGGCTCCATTTCACTTTCTGCCTCCATCGAAGAGGAGGCATTCACGTTTTATCAGCAACAAGTAGAAATCAGAAGGGATGTGCAAACCTTAAAAAACGAGGACCTACCAGAAGTCCCAGTCCTCTGGAGTCACAGTGAGCAATTCCTTGTCATATCCTTTCTCCTTGACCAGGAACTGAGCAAAGCTGTGGTAAATGAGCTGTAGACAAAGGGAAAGAAAAAAGAGAGGTTAAATACAAAATTCACTATTCATTCTGAATTTCACAGACCTGAAGACCTGATGGAATCACTCACGGGGCAGTGGGGGAAGGAAATTTCTTAATTATAAAGCTCTTCAGTTTAATTCCCTTCACAAACCATTAAACCACCCCCGTGAGCCCCCAGTACCTGTAGTGTCTTTTTTTTTTTTTTTTTTTCAAAATTGTACCATCATCAGTATACAACTAGAGGCCTCGTGCATGAAATTTGTGCACTGGAGGGGAGGGGAAGTTGTCCCACAGCCCAGCCTGCACCCTCTCCAATCTGAGACTCATCAGGGGAAGTTGGACATCCCTCTCACAATTCAGGACTGCTGGGAGCTGGGTAGGCCGCCATACTGTCTGCTGGAGAGGCAGGAAGAAAACAACCAGGGCATTTATTTTATAGCCCCAATACCAGGAAGTTATCACCAACTTATTTGCATTCTTCAGTAGGCCCTAGCACGCCTGGATTTACATATCTAGTGCCACCCTGCCAACACTTGGGCTGATATGAAGGCCAAGCTGACAATATGTCCACCATCTTGGGGAAACATGTTCCCAGGGTGTGGCTCTGCCTACAGCCTTTATCCAGGTCAATTGCAAATAGACACACATTATGTCAACACTGCGTATCAACAGCTCTCCACCCCGTGGTCGATTCACAGCTACAGGTGATGGTTCCTAAAACCACCCAGAAATTCCAAGCCTATAGGACAGAGTGGGGCCCAGATAGGGCCCCTACAGGATTCCTGAAGCCCAGACATGACCGAACACTACTCCTTTACATGCTACACAGATTCTTATTCAATCATCCCAAAATACCAATGCACATGTACTGAGTCATCCTGAAGTGAAACATACTAAGAACTGTAAAACACACACACACATGATCCTGCCTGCAAGAAACCGGTGCCAAGGGATTAACGGATGGAAAGAGCTTAGAGCTGAGCCTGGCATAGGAGTAAATCCAATTTAGGTGTTGCTATTCTTATCGGTCACGCCCTGGTTTTAAAAAGGGCCCTGACGTGTAGTATCTGTCCATTGTTAAGGTATACATACGCCCGCCTGGGTCTAGCTGCCAAGGGCACAGTCTTACACTTGCCTCTGATCACGGCACTTGATTTCACTCCGGACAACACTCCTCACACCCGGGACAATACTGATTACAAGCATGCTTCCAATGGGGCCAGGTTCCTTCCTGAGACAAAGGGGCCCTTTCTCACAGGCTGCCAACACGGGCACCCAGAGCTGTGTTCCTTCCCTCTCAGAGGAGACGCTTCTGTAACAGGAGACAATGGGGTCAACGTGCAAGGAGGAGCAGAGAACACGGTGCGGAGAAAAGCAGGGGGCCCTGTGCCTCTGACACCCCTCACCACAGGGGCCCCGAACCAGCCTTTCAGTGCTCAGTCCCCCCAAGGCCACCTGAAGGCCCGGATGTTACCTGTGTATCCCCACTCCATTATGGTGTTTAGCACACTGCAGCCCTTAAGAAAAGATTTCTAGATGGAACGGGACCCAAAGCACACTACGTTACTGTTTTCAGCCTTGAAGCATTACATATATTCGAGGCTCGTAGTAAAGGATCCTTGACTTCAAGGATCTTATATTCTAAAAATCTTAGGCTCGCACATGCACAATTTGGGCTCTAACATGACAGTGGTTTTTTAACAACGTTTCTTCCAAATGAAGGTGATTACAGAGGAGATGCAGAAAACATGAACCAGGAGGGGATTTTTAAAGGCACAGAGGGAAGAAAAATATGAATCAAAGACCTAGAGGCCTCTCCGGCGAGGCTCAGAGATGAAGCCTTGACCTATGAACCAGAGGTTCAATTCCCCGTTAAGGCACATGCCTGGGTTATGGGCTTGATCCCCAGAGAGGGGCGTACAGAAGTGGCCAACCATTTGATGTTTCTATCTCTCCCTCTCTCAAATCAATAAAAATATATATTAAAAAAAAAAAAAGATGACAACCTAGAGCAGTGGTTCTCAACCTTTCTAATGCCTCGACCCTTTAATACAGTTCCTCATGTTGCGGTGACCCGCTGCTATAGAGCCTAAGACCATCGGAAAACACAGATATTTACATTACGATTCATAACAGTAGCAAAATTAGTTATGAAGTAGCAACAAAAATAATTTTATGGTTGGGGGTCACCACAGCATGAGGAACTGTATTAAAGGGTCTCAGCATTAGAAAGGTTGAAAATCGATGCCAAGGACCAAACCAGAGATGGTCGGACCTGCATCACCACCATCTGTCCACCATCCAGATCTGAAATATCATGGCTGACATGTACACATAAGGAACTGTTTGACATTGAAATTGGGACTCAAAAGAACTGTTGGCCCAGAAAGAAACTCACTACAGACTGATTCATTTGCCTCTCAGCATAACCATTATGGCTGGTCTCAATCTTGGTTCTTACATTTCTTGTATCACATGATCTCACTCATCTAGGGGAAATAATGAACAACATAAACTGATGAACAAAAACAGACCCAGAGACAGGGAAGCATTGATCAGACTGTCAAACCTCAAAGGGAAGGAAGAAAGGGTGGGGGGAAGGGGAGAGATCAACTAAAGGACTTATATGCATGCATATGAGCCTAACCAGTGGTCACGGACAACAGGGGGGTGAGGGCATACGTGGGGAGGGGTTTGGGATGGGAATGTGATACCATAATCAATAAAGAAATTTTAAAAAAATATATTTTATTGATTTCTTACAGAGAGGAAGAGAGAGAGAGATAGAGAGCTAGAAACATCAATGAGAGAGAAACATCAACCAGCTGCCTTTTGCACACCCCCGACTGGGGATACGCCCACAACCAATGTACATGCCCTTGACCGGAATCGAACCCGGGACCCTTCAGTCCGCAGACCAACGCTCTACTGCTGAGCCAAACCGGTTTCGGCAATAAAGAAATTTTTTAAAAAAAAAAAGAAAGGATGAGAACCACTGACCTAGAGGAAGTAGTGGCCAAAGAATCAAGTAGTAAAGAAAAGCCTTCTTAACTCTCAATACAAGTGAGGGAACATCTGGACAGAGGGAAAGCATGAAGTATAGCAGCAAGAACAGCACATTAGTATTGTTTAGCATCTGCGCGTAGAAAACACAAGTGATCCCAACTCCTTTCTGACTTTTGACGGGGACCTGAATTGTTTAATGGGACACTTACCTCACCACAGCATGGAGCCTGGGCGATGTGTGTGCCAATGGCTGGGAGCTCTGCTCATACATGGGCGAGGCTTTAAAGTGCTTTGGGTGGCAACCATAAGAGCGACGCTTGTATGTGCCAGACGGGTGGAATGTACTTGTATGCCAGCACCGCTCTCAGCGTTGTACACCTATTCATTCACCTATCTGATCTTTGTAACAACCTTGTGAAGTAAGTCCAGTGACTGGTCCCATTTTACAGATGGGGAAACTGAGAATAGACACAGGTTAAGATGCAGAACTAGTAACAGAGGAGCTGGTGCCCTATGCTAGGCAGACTGGCTGTAGAGTCCTTGCATGGAAACACTGTGCTCTTTAAAATTTTTTCCTTCTGCCGGGACTGGTTTGGCTCAGTGGATAGAGCGTCGGCCTGCGGACTGAAAGGTCACGGGTTAGATTCCGGTCAAGGGCATGTACCTTGGTTGCGGGCACATCCCCAGTGGGGGTGTGCAAGAGGCAGCTGGTAGTGTTTCTCTACTCATTGACATTTCTAACTCTCTGTCCCTCTCAATTCCTCTCTGTGTAAAATCAATAAAATATATTTTTTAAAAATAAAAAAATAAAAAAAATAAAATTTTTTCCTTCTATTTGGATAGGTAGAACTTTGACCACAAAAAAAGGGGGGGAAATTCTGCTGATTTTTCACAATCTTTTTTTTGAAAACCAAAGGAATGGAGTTGGGGGGAGTTCCATCCAGTAGAGGGTACAGGTGTGGAGTCATACACTCACTCCACATCCCCATCCCTTCCAAAGCGCAGTGAGGACCCACACGCAGCAGGCTGTTGTTAGGATTACACTTACTGGTATTCAAGGTGCATGAAGCACGCAGTGGGTGTGCGATAGAAGCAAAATTAGGGCTAAGATATCTTAAGCGACTTGTTGGCTGATGCTCCTTCCCATACCCCACACAGCCTGTCCCTGACCGCGGCGCCCGACACTGACAGGTGGTCGCGTGGACGTGCAAAGGGACAAACGCCGCCGAGGAGGACACCAGCGCCTCCCCGGTGGCGGCGGCGCGGCCGGCGCCCAAAAGGACTTGCAGGGAAGTCCCGGGGCCTGGGATCCGCAGAGGACACCCCGGTGCCGCTAGCCCCGCCCTTCCTCTGCCCCAGGAACTGTTTCCCCCGCCCGATCGCGCCCAAGGTGTCCTTCCTCCCCCCCTTTCCTTCCGCAACCGGCTCTCCAACTTCCCCGCCCCCGGCCCGTGCCCACCGCCCGGGTGGGACCGGGGATGCCTGTGCGCAAAGGCGCGGCGACCGCGGCCCCCGGGGGGAGGGAGCTCCGCCCGCGCCCGGCCCGCACTCACCGGGGCGCTCTCGGGCAGGTTGTAGCGGCACAGCGTGTGGTCCAGGTCGAAGCCCACCACGTCGCAGGCGGCGAGGGAGAAGGGCTGCGCCATGGCTGCGCGGGCAGCGCGGGAGCGGGGAGCGCCGGCCGACGCTGCGGGACGGGACCTGCAGGACGCGGCGGGGCGGGCGGGGCGGGGCGGGGAGAGGCGGGGCGAGGCGGGGAGGGGAGAAGCGGGCTGCGTCCGCCCCGGGACGCGGAGAGGCGGCCCTAGCGCTTCCCGCGCCCGCAAGCACCGCCCCGCCGCGCTGCCCCCGCCCCGGCCTGCCCCGCCCCGCCCCGCCCGCCCCTCGCGCGGCCGGCCTCCCCCGCGCCCCGCGGCCACTCTGCGGGCTTCCCCTGCTGATCCTCCCCCGGAGCCCCCAAGGCAAGGTGGGGCCTGGTGCTGGGCCAGGCCTGCAGGGATTGGGGTGCAGCTGAGCCCCTGTTGGCACGCGGCCCTCGCCCCGAAAGGAACGGGGGCGCCCCTTCCTTTGGCAGGCGCCGGGCGAAGGAGGAGATGGTGCAGTTAGACTCGAGCCAATGGGAGAGGAATATGGAGTTTTTCTCCACTGACGTTCCTCGGATGTTAGCCAAGGATTTGGGAGATCTTTTTGCCTGGGAGATCTTTGACCATGGGTTGAACCAGAAAGTTTAAATGCCATAGTAACTTCCTAAGTAAAAAACACCCCATAAACTCAATAACCCAATAGAAAACGAACAAAGGACCGAAATAGACATTTCCCCCAAAGAGGACAAATGGCCAACAGACTTACGGAAAGGGGAAGATGCTCACTCTATGTTACTGATCACCAGGGGAATGCAAATGACAAACCACAATGACCTGTCAGAATGGCTATCATCAGTAAATCTACAAAGATCTAGAGAAAAGAACCCTCAGGCACTGGTGGTGGTGGTGGAAACTGGGGCAGCCACTAAGGAAACAGTCTGGAGATTCCTCAAACACTTAAAAATAGAGGCGCCATCCACCCAGCAAGCCCACTTTTAGGTATTTATATGAAGAAATAAAAAACACTAATTGGAAAAGTCTAAGCACCCCTATGTTCATTGAAGCATTACTTAACAATAGCCAACTTAGGGGCCCATCAATGTTCCTGAAGAGCAACCCAGTCCGAGGGGGCTCTGCCCTCCTTGGCTCTTGTCACGCTCAGGAGAAAAAATTCAGATGAGTGATAGAAAGCAGTGTTTAAGCCAAGTAAGTGAATCGATTAAGAAAGCAAAGAGGGATAATTTATTAAGAATACACTTGGCAGAAACTGGTTTGGCTCAGTGGATAGAGCGTAGGCCTGCGGACTGAAAGGTCCCAGGTTCGGGTCTAGTCAAGGGCATGTACCTTGGTTGTGGGCACATCCCCAGTGGGGAGTGTGCAAGAGGTAGCTGATCGATGTTTCTCCCTCATCAATGTTTCTAACTCTTTATCCCTCTCTCTTCCTCTCTGTAAAAAAAAAAAAAAAAAAAAAAAATCATTAAAACAACAAAAACAAAACACAAAGAATACACTTTGCATAAAGCACAAGCCATCACCTCAGGTAGACTGAAAGTGCTTTCTGGTGGGGGTTCAATGGTTTTATAGTTTTTCCCTCTGTAGGTTTCAAGGTTCCCCTATCAGATAGACTAGATTTCAAGGCCCCCTTTTTATTTTGTTGTGGCTTTTTTTCCAGAATTTAGGAGAACATCTGTCAATTTCATCTTGGCAAGTCCCAAGACTGCTGACTTTTTTTTCAGTGGGTGAGATAAACTCCTCCTTTCCCCCCTCCTCCTTTCCTTCCTCCTGCCTCATCAGCTACCTACCCTGCCTATCAGATAGATGAATGTATAAAGATGTGATATACCTATACCTATACCTATACCTATACCTATACCTATACCTATACCTATACCTATACCCATATGAATTCACTTATATGTAGAGTGTAAAACAAACCACATGAATAAACAAAACAGAACCGGAACCTTAGATATATGATAGATAACAAGCTAATGGTTGCCAAAGGGGATGGGGTGTGGAGAAATGTGGAAGGGAGTCCACGGATGTGTTTACTCCAAATCCTATGATGAAGGCCCAGCCCTACATTTGGAGGAAGGGAGTTATTGTCCAGTGAGGTCTTAGAGGGGGTCCTAATTCAGAGTGCCTGGAAGAGACAGACAGAAGCGGAAGAGGCACCAGAGATGCTCATGCACAAAGGAGAGGCCCGTGAAGACACAGGAGAAGGTGCAGCCTGAAAGTCAAGAGAGGTTTTTCAGAAACCAATCCGATTGGCACCTTGATCTTGGACTTCTGACACCCAGAAATGTTAGGAAATGATTTTCTGTTTAAGTCTGTGGTATTCTATTAAGGCAGTCCGAGCGAACTACTACGGTCAGTAAGGAGATTTGACTCTAATCAATGTCGTTGAGACAAAAGTATGGGATTTGCTATTTGACAGATCCCAAAATGGTAGAAACTTTGGCTTAAGTTATTTGTTGGTTTTTAAAATTTTGGTACTTTCACTTGTACATAACATTAATACAATGTAAAGTTTTAGCATTTTTTTTTTTTTGGCTTTCCATGTACTGAGTTCTTAGAACTAGAAAGTTATTAAATAATTTAGAAATCCTCGGAAATAAGAAGTAATGATATGCATTGCTAATTTTCCAGAATTCAATTTTATTCGTATAACTGAGCTGCATTTTAATAAATATAACTCTATAATTTTAGTAACTTTAACCTTAGGTATGCCTTTTACTTAATTTGTTACCTAAACAATAACTTTGTGAATAGCCGTACTCAGTAAGTGATCTTTTGTGGATTTATAATAACATATGTTAACACCTATATTGTAATTGTCATTTACCAACCTGTTATTTTGGGGCAGTGAAAAATGGCCAGTAGGTTAAAATGTGTGTCCCTAAATATATCAGAGTAAACATTGTAATGTTCGACCTTTTATATAATCTAAGCCAATACACACATCTCTGGATAACATAATTTATTTAGGTGGAACAATAAAAGTTATTTAGTAATTTAGAAAAAGGATGAATGCCTAAAAATTAAATTCTATGTCATTTAAATATTAGTCATTTAGGTCAGTGGTCGGCAAACCACGGCTCGCGAGCCACACGAGGCTCTTTGGTCCCTTGAGTGTGGCTCTTCCACAAAATACCCCGTGCAGGCATGCGTGTACAATGCGATTGAAACTTCGTGGCCTGTGCGAAGAAGTCTGTTTTCGGCTCTCAAAAGAAATTTCAATCGTTGTACTGTTGATATGTGGCTCTGTTGACTAAGGAGTTTGCCGACCACTGGTTAGGTAAATAGAACCAAAAGCTGGCTTGTAATACTGGGCTGCGGCCTTGAGATGGCAGTAGTTCTGCACTAGGAATATTTTTAATTTTGATTTCTTGAGTAACCTTAAAATCATTAGATTTCCAAAAAACAAAACAAAACACACATATTATTTTCTTCTTTCCATTTCTGCGCTTGCCACAAGAAAAGAAGCCTACTTGGAAATTTTGCTGTGTTTTATTTTATTTCTTATGGTGCTGGGAAATTTCTTACTAAGGTTGTGTCTGCATAAAAAACTAAATGTTTAAATTATGAAATTATTTCCTCTTGGAGACAGCGCTAACATATTGAAATGGCTAAACTGTGATTCAAAATATTTCAAATGATATAGTAATGGATTGAAATTTAATTAAGACAAATGTTAAGTTTTGGGGTTAGGTTCAGACAATCAACTTAACAGTATGTGAAGGAGAGTCTTGATTTACTAGTAGTATTTGTTAAGTTAAAAATAAAATGTGGACAAACTCAAGGTAGACTCAGTTAGTTCCAATTTAAACTCACTACATATTTTTTAACTATATATATATATTTTATTCATTCCAGAGAGGAAGGAGAAGGGAGAGAGACAGAAACATCAATGATGTGAGGGAATCACTGATGGGCTGCCTCCCACATACCCCCTACTGGGGATCAAGCCCACAACCCAGGCATTTGCCCTTGACCAGAATTGAACCTGGGACCCTTCAGTCTGCAGGCTGACATACTTTCCACTGAGACAAACCAACTAGGGCAAACTGAGGATCATCTTGGCAGTCCCTTCACTGTACTTCCTATGCCTTGGCTGGCCTTCAGGAGTGTGGCGGTTCTAAGTTACAGAAGTTATGCTCCACGGAGTCTTGGAAGAGACTTCTGGCCCTTAGCTGGTGGCATCCATACATACAATGTCTTTTCCTCAGCTAGGCCATCCCTCTCAGCCTTTGGCTGCCGCTGGTCACACCAGCCACACTGTCAGCAGCCATCCCCGCAGACACTGAAACACCTCCAGTTACAGTGGCATCAGAAAAACCTGTAGTTTTGTCTCAAATCAGCCAGCCTCTCCTGAGCATCCCCAGGAAACATTCCCAGGAAACTTCCCGTTTCCCAGCCTCAGTAAGGAGGCTCTATGCCAGGGGAGGGGAGGCAGGTGACAACCTCAGACCCTCTCTCCATCTAGACGTGACTCCATTCCTTCTCTAGTGAAGGTCCCGTGTGGCACAGGCCACTGCAAATGGTCTTTTCTCAGAACTCTGGCAATCAGAACCCTGTTTCCTCTGCTGTTGGATTCATGTAGTGGGTCTTTTGTTTATTCTATAGGACCGTGGTCGGCAAACTCATTAGTCAACAGAGCCAAATATCAACAGTACAACGATTGAAATTTCTCTTGAGAGCTACATTTTTTAAACTTAAACTTCTTCTAACGCCACTTCTTCAAAATATACTCACCCAGGCCATGGTATTTTGTGAAAGAGCTGCACTCAAGGGGCCAAAGAGCCGCAGGTGGTTCGTGAGCCCCAGTTTGCCAACCTCGGATCTAGAGGATTTGGCTTTGTATTGGGATAGGGTGTAGGGATCTTTCTCAGGGACCCACACAAATGGCCATAAAATGGAAAAATGACTGTTACATATCAATGTCCAGAAGTTACCTTTGTCCTTGGGAAATCACTGGAAATGCTTTTGCTATGGTAAGGGAACGCTCTTGGGTCAAGCTTCCTCATCGTCCGGGTTCAGCTGGTTTTGTTTCGTGTGCTACA